ACACATCAGACACATCAGATGCCCTATTTCAGAAAGCTTCCTCAACTTGTGGGAAAGTCAAAGGATCCCCAGGGCTGCCTCACCTGGCCCGTCCCTCTCAGAGCCAAGGACCTCTCCCCGGGCCCTGGGCTCGTGACTCAGCCACCTAACAGCATTTCAGAACTCCTGGGTCACTGGAAACATGGGGTCCTGGTGACCTGTTATTGACATGCTCATAATATGGCCCTTGTGTCCTGGATGGTGAATGGGCACAGATGGGAACTCTGGGAACAAATGTCCTCAAAAGTCATGAATCACTGTGGGCTTGGTGGCAGGGGTGCACACCTTCCCAGCTGGGTGGAAACTGGGTCTTGGGTCAGGTGGGGTGCTGACCCGGCTCCTGGCTCCCCAGACGGAAAGCTTCACTTCATTGCCCTAGACACTCATGTCAGCTTGGGCATTGCAGCATAAGCCCAGCTCCTCTCTGCGCTGCCACGGGAGGCCAGGGTGACGTGGAGCCTGCAGAGACGGTGGGTGCTGGCCTGGCCTGGCTCTCCTGGAGCAGCACCCCACTCTGAGCAGCTGTGTGGCTGCCACGTGCAGCCAACCCCACTCCTTCTTTGTGAGGTCGGCTCTGCCGGCGCTGACTAGAGGGGGTTCTCCGGCCTGCCTTGTAGGAGTGCCCCAGGAGCGGGGGAGCCCCGGAGGGGCTGCTGTGCAAAGCCAGCCGAGCTCACCTGCCATGTGCCGGATGGTCTTCCTGCAGTACTCCTCAGCCATCGGGACCACCTTCAGCATGTCCCGCCCCCACTGCACCAGCGGCTTTCCTTGTACTGCATAGGAGGCAAACAGGGCCGTGCACAGGGAGCCGAGGAAGCCTGCCGGGGCGGGGGTGTCTCTGAGCAGACCTGGCCTATAGCCTGTGCACCTGCCTTTCCAGCCAATGTGCAAGCTGTGAGCGGAGGGTGGCTCTGTTGATGAGCTGACCCTGCCACTTACTCCAGGCCCAGCAGAGGGGCTCCTGATCAGCCCTCCGTGAGGACAGTGTTGGACAATGTTGGACAGTCCAGAAGTTCCAGAAAGTTCTGGCCTCCCTGTGCCATCTGTGGGACCCTGTGTTCAGGGTGACATTGTCAACTCAGTTCATCTTGCACTCCTAGAGCCTGGCTCTGAAAGATGGCCCTGGGGGTGTGGCCTGGGCCATTCCAGTGTGCCTGCTGTGCAGACCAGGAGATGAAGCTCAGGAAGTGGGGCCCTGGCTCCAGGTCTGTCTGCATCCACCCAGACCACAGAGTGGGGAAGAAAAGCCATCCCAGCTGCAAGTATTCCCTGGGTCATTTCACAGTGCCACTGCCACCATCATCTGTGACAGGAGAGGCAGGGCTAGGTTGCCTCACCCTGCTCAGTGCCCAGTTCCCCTAGCCGTGCCATCCCCCAGTGCTGCTTCTGCGCAGGGTCGCACCACAGGGCACCTCTCTTTTTTCTCTTTGGACTAACACAAACGAACCCAGAATCAGTGGGAGTCTTTCCCCTGCCCAACCTCCCACCATCATGGGTCTGGCACTGATTCTGCCTTCACATGTGAAGGAGACCTCAGGCAAGATGAAGAGATGGCCCAATTCCCCCAACACAGCCAGATGGGAAGGTCGGCCCAGCCGCCCAAGATTTCCAGTCCAAGAGGCAGGGAGACCACAGGAGCCAGCCAGCTTGAGTGCTGCTGCGTGCCAAGGCCCGGGCTCCCTCAGCAGACAGGCCTGCACCTGTCTGGCACCGGCATTACCTGTGGGATGGTTGTGGGTCATTCTGCCGCACTCAATGCTGACTTCGATCAGAGTCCCCAGCCGCTCTGGCTTCCAGTACCGCATGCCGATGCACATGGCCTTTGTGGCAGCTCCGAATCCTGAGCCTGTGTGGAGATGAGCACCTGTGTCAGACTCTTTCTCCAATAAGCCCACCTCTGGCGATCTAGCAGTACCATCATTTCTGAAGTATAAAACCTCATGTGACAGCACATTCATCAGAATGTCATCTGGGATTATTTTTATTAGATAATTTCTCAACTCACGGATTTTAAATTGTCGACCTGCTAGTGTCTATGAGTTAAACTTTGTAAAACATACTTGTTTTTCCACTGTATGCAAACTGAAAAAAAAAAGATATACAATTTCTCTGTTGTATGTTGGATTATGTAGGAAAACTCTGTGAACAATTTTAGAGAATTAAAAAAACCAAGTTCCTGTTGGGGGGATGTCATTTGGGTGAGTGAACAATGGCAAGCCACTCTGAAGGTTGCTATCAGGTGCATGAAGGCCTAGGTGGTGTGCCCTCCTGATGAACCAAGGCCCATGAGGCGTGACCAAGTTGCTTCTGTGTTCCTGGCGATGTACTTTGCTCTAAAAGTTATTGCATATGTCATCAATACAGTTGACCCAGCTCTTGTGTCTGTCAACAGACGTTTAAAGGAAGTGGACATTTTCTGCTCCATAACTCCATCTTTACAGTTCTGGATGTCCGAGAGCTGGTCATAGGTACCCTTTGGCTCTGGTGTGAGCCTTCTGGCTAAAGCAATCCCTTGAGAGAGAAAGTGAGGAGCTTCAGGAGTCGCATAGTAGCTGCACTGGCCCTTGACCAGGGCAGGCCCCCAGCACTCCAGGCCTCTGTCCACCCTGCTGGACGGAGCACCAAGGCTCCACCTGGATTGGACAGGAACAGACACTGCCACACCACAGCCAGGTGCAGTAGCTTTGTGCTTTGAGGCTACACCCAGGGGAGAGAACTATCTCTAACTGCCTCCTTCCGCCTTCTGAACGGATGTGGCAGGAGCTCCTTCTTACATTCCAACCACACACAGAGTGGACTGACCTGAGCTCAGGTCTGCTTTACATCCACCTAAGGGGCACACGGCACGTGGGAGACATGGAACCAGACCAGCTGGAGACACTGAGGACCGTGATGGGGAGAGGCTCCTCCCACACCCCCGCACTGCCCCTGCACAGGACTGCACCCAGATTGATGGTGAGGCTGGCCTGCAGAATCCTAAATGTGGGCCAGCATTCATTATAGTTTTCTCTCTACTCTTGCTCACACTAGAATTTTCCAAAATGAAAATTATGTGATAAACATGCAGATAAGAAGTTGAGATATCATCGCAGCAGGGAACTGGAGTAGCAGAGAGGCTCTGGGTCGGAGCTGCGGCCCCAGAAGGTGAACAGCTCCTGAGGCTGCCTGGAGTCACACTTGGAGAGCTCAGGCCATGTTCACCTGCTCGAGCTGCAAAGACACCACCAACTCAGCTTCCGACCTCAGGGTTCCCAGCCGAGGCAAGAGGTAATGGGAAGGCCACTGACAGTCAAGTCACAGGCAAGGCTTCCGTGGGTCCTTCCCATTAGAGTGGACAGAGGTGGCATTAGAAGTCTAAAGAGAGGCTGGGCTGTGGCTCAGTGGCAGAGCACTTGCCTAGCACATGTGGGGCACTGGGTTCAATCCTCAGCACCACATAAAGATAAATAAATAAATAAAGGTATTGTGTCCATCTACAACTAAGAAAAGTCTAAAGAGCAATGTTGGCTATAAGCGGTCAGAGACCTGTTCAATGTCACAAAGTGGTGTCAGAACTTAGATTAGAAATCAAGTCAGTTGAGGACACAATGCCTTTGTTATTCATTCACTTAGGTGTGGTGCTGAGGGTCGAACCAGTGTCTCGCAGGTTAGGCGAGCCCCCACAGCTGAGCCCCAGCCGGCCCAGCCAGTTCTTTACAGTCAGAGTCGTGCATTCACAAGGGAAAGAACAAGAACCAAAGTGTTTGAATCAAAAGCCGATTTAAAGCCCAGAACCCCCTCGGCCTTGCTCTGTCTCCAAGGCCAAGTGCTGCTTTTCCCTTACAGAAGTTTCCTGGGCAGAGGCGCCCGTGACCTCTCCCTGCCCTGTCCTTCCCATAAACACCGCGCAGGGCAGCGGGGCAGCGGGCAGCGGGGCAGCAGCAGAGCACTGCCTGGAGCCTGGCCGACACCCACAGGCGCCAACTCCTGCGGCCTTTCCAGGCTTCTGCTCCCACGAGCGCTGCAGAGGGCGCCCTGCACACTTGCTTTCCTGGACGGTCACTACGGGTCAGTTGCCCCTCTGGAGGGAGGACTGCCAGATCAGGGGGCGTCCGTCACGTGACTCTGATGGACGATGCCAGGGCTCCTCTCAGGGGCTGCCCACCCAGCGGAGGCCTGTGTGCTCTCTCTCACCACAGAGGTGACAGGCTTTCCTGGGGTGGCCAGTCTGCACCTGCTCCAGCTGCCCCTTCCAGAGCACCGGGTCTTTCCTTGGCCACCAGGGGGCCGGAGCAGCTCGCCTGGCCCACCCGGGTGGCTGTGCCTTCTCAGGGAGAGCCCCTGGAGACCTAGTCCAGGTCGGCAGCACACCGTCACCACGACGGGTCACGAGAGGCCAGGCGCAGAGGCTGGGCGGCCTACTGCACACCCCCGGGGCCCCCGGCACCCCAGAACTGAGGAAGAAGCCCCTGGGGAGCCATGCCTCTGTGCAGATGCCCACGTGGGCCGCAGAAGGGGCCGACCCCAGTGCCCGCGGTGAGGGCAGAGCCATGTCTGTGGCCTGGAAGGAGCTCGGGGATGGGGCAGACTCCCTGACCCTTTTCACTGAAGGGTGTGTGCCAGGCCAGGAGGTAGTTATCTGGCTTCAGCAGTGAGCAGCCCTCCACGGTGGCTGGGTCTGGCCGACGTTCCGGAAGCTTCTCCATGGCCTCCACATAGCACCTCACCATCTCGCGGTACAGGTCATCCAGGCACCAGAAGTCTGGGGAGGAAGAAGGCAGATAGAGGTCACCTGGACAGTGAGTGTGTGCAGATGGGGCCAGTCAGCCAGCCCGAGATGGAGGCCACTGACATGCAGACAGTCCTGGGGTCTCCCTGTGACCAGGTGTCAAGGTGGAGGCCAGGCCTGTCCTGGGAGATCCCCACACCCTCATTCTCTGCTAAGTGCTCTGTCCATGTGAGAGAAAAACTGAGCAGAACCCCTGTTCCTGGCCGCGAAGCTGCCGTCTCGGCCTATAGGAACCCTGTGCAGGGCCACGCTGTACCCACGTTTCCATAAAGCATATCCCGGGGACAGATATGGAGTCGAATCCCCCAAAGACCAGGGCACTGAGGGCAAAAAGCCAGTCCCCATGGAGCCGCCCCCACTGAGCCTGGGCATGTGCATGTTAGACAGCAGGAGATCCCACACATGGGGTCCTGTTTCCAGATAACATCCAGGGAGGCGATTCCTGTCCATGTCTGGAGCAGGTCAGTGGATTTCAGTTGCAAAGCTGAGTGTTTTGGCCACTAGGCTGATCCATAGTATGGTGGGCCTCACCCCTGGTGCCGGCGTCCCAGGTGCCTGACCACTCTGAGAGTGGGCTGAGTCAGGCGAGGCAGTGTGGGGTGCCCCCAGCATCTTGTGCCACACCAGTGCTGTGCTCAGAGTGTCTGGGCTGCCAGGGTGCTGTGAGCGGCGGCACTGCTCCTTCCTCCTTTGTGATGATGGGGCAGGAACGTGGAGGAGGGACGAGATCGCAAGGGCAGTTGCCTGCCCACCCCGGGAAGAACAGGGCCAGAAAACCCAGAAACCTCTCGTGGCTGGACCAGAGCCAATGCTGCGGAGCCGTGGCACAGAACGGGGAGGGTCCTGAGAGCTTGCGGCAGGATGAGCCTTCCAGCCCAGCCCAGAGCCCCCTGGACAGTGGAGAGTCCTGGGATGCCATCCTGTGGCCCTTCCCTGGATGAGCCATAGGGCACCCAGCTCTGAGGCCCTGTAGGGGTGCCACACCTCCGGGGAGGGGCCCATGTGCCACCCCTGAGGGAATAAGCCAGCCTTGGCCTGCCCGGCCACGCGGGGGCGCTGGGCCCGCGGTCGTCCAGCTGTCGGTCAGCTGATAGAGTTCTGGTGCAGTCTACAGGGCTATCCCTTTATAGACGGTCTGCTCTCCCTCCCTACTGGCCAGCCAGCCTTCTTGAGTCCTCTAAAGTAATTACTTTCATTCCAGAGTCAGATGCCACAAAATTTATGTATTTAACATCAGTTGCTTCCTGTAAAGCAAAATAAAATCCACAAAACCAAAATGGCAGTCTGGGTGTGGTGCCACACCTGTAATCCCGCCACTCAGCAGGCTGAGGCAGGAGGATTGCAGTTGGAGGCCAACCTGGGCAACTCAGCGAGACGCTATCTCAAAATAAAAGACACAAAGGGGATGTGGCCCAGTAGTAGAGCACCCTGGGTTCAATCCCAGTACAAAAAAGAAGTGCAGGGAGGGGTGGGCACCGCGTGGTGGAGAGCCCGAGCCTGTGAGAGGGCCTGGGTTTGGCCAGTGCAGGGTCAAAGGCAGCAGAGAGCCTTTTCAGCTGAGTCTGAGCCGGAGGCAGCCTCCTGGGCCGTAGACTGCTGTGCTGTGGAGGCCCGTTAGTCCCCTTGGCATCCCCCTGGTCTCCTGAAGGACAGGCCAGTTAGGGAGACTGCCTGTTATGATGAGAGGCAGACAGCACCAGCATCCTTGAGGGCAAAGCTGAGAGGAAGGGGCTGGGGTTGGCCAGGGACACATGGGCACTTTCTGGCAACCCTCTGCCCAAGTAGCTGTGCTTGGCCTGGGCGTCGACAGTTCTGCTGACCATCAGAAGCACAAGGCCCAGATCAGCTGATGGAGCCTCCCAGTGCTTACCATGCTCCCCTGTGGTCTGTGGACTCCACGCTGCCCCAGGGCACCAGCTTCCTCAGCTCGGAAGAGGTGAGTGGGAATGTGGAGCGGAGAAGCTGGGCTTCAGGGCGAGCTCTTGGGGGACGAGCGGTCCCGGCGGCGGCCGGGTACCTGAGCGTAGAGTGACAGGATGGTGCTGTCCTGGGCACCGTGCTCTGGCTCCGCCCACTGCACTCGTGACGTGCCTGTCGGCTTCTGCTCTATGCTGTGGGACACACCAACTGGGTGATGCCCAGGCCACATGGCCACACATCTGTAGAACTCTGCTTGGCCTAGAGACACGTTCAAGCGCCACTGTGCATCGGGGTCATGGAAACACCTGCAGGCCACTGTGACCTTGGCGGGTCAGGAGAGCATGTGAAAACCGCAAGGCCAGACTGAGCTCTTGGCCCGCTGTCACTCCTGTGGCTGTGAAGCCTTTCTGCATGTCAGTCCCTCTCCTGTAGCACAGTGGCACTGGGCTCCCCCGTGGGGAATGAGGACCCCCACCCTGGGGTAAGTCCTGCAGGAAGCTGCACACCCGAGGGCAGAAACGCAGGTGTCTCACGTGCCTGGGAAGCCCCCGACGGACGGCAGGCTGCAGCCTGTTACTGAAAGAACAGAACAGGTGGTGGGAAACTGAGTGAGATTTCAACTCTGAGTGTCAGCGAGTTGGAAGAATGTGCTTGCTGCTGTTTCTAGAGGGGCGAGTGATAAGAGGGATCTTTGTGAGTCTCATGATCCAATCGGGAGGCCAGGACGGGCACCACACGAGGGTCACCTGCTGCCTTGCTGGCAGTCGCCACCCGTGGGAACTGACCTCTAGCTCAGGAACAAGCCGCACCGTTTCCTACCCGTGCTTCATTTGGGTGGCTGTGTCCCATGGATCCCGGGTGCTCTCCATAAAAACTGTACAGCCTGACAGGGGCCCAGGGCTCTGCACCCGCTGACGTGCTGGTCACGTGGGCCTGTGTGTGGCTGTGCCTTTGTGAGCACGGAGTGCCAGACCCCAGGGCAGAGCAGGTGCCACTGTGTGCAACCAGGATAGACTGTGCTGGGCTGGGCCCTGGCAGTCTGTAGGGCACCACAGCTCTGGGCTCAGGGCAGGGTGCGCTGCTGGTGAGGGCAGAGGGCACACACACCTGCTGAAGACAGAAGCAGGAAACACAGGCTCCAGAACTGTGGTGACACCACTCTCAGCAGGCTGTGGCTTCTTATCTTATTGACATGCTTCAGCCCTCTCACAGGCTATTTAGGGAGGAGCGATGGCATTCCTACACAATGACCACAGAGCTAAACTGAGCGTGCTCACAGCCGGCAAGTGGAATGGTGTCGAGAAGGCATAGATGAAATCCAGTGACTCAGAAGCCACCCTCAGACCTCAGCTTTGCCGTGACAGACTGATAATACCTGCAGGACTGAAGGCATGCGACCTGCAGGAGAGCTGCCCTTCTAGGCACCACTGTTTCTCTGAAACTCATAAAATCTGCTTGGTCCTAAGATCAACCTGCTCCTGGCAGTTTAAGAGACTGTCCCCCCAGATCCAGTCGACTCTGCAGTGTTCTCCAGAATTCACGATGAACAAGCAACGTCCAAGATGAACCATTCCGGCAGATCTTCAGCCTTGGTTCATTGGAATGGAGATGTGATCCCCAAAGGCTAGTGTATGAATGCTCCCAAGTTTTAAGCTGGTTTAATTTCACATTATGCACTAAATTAAGAACACGAAGATGCGATTTCTAATGCGGTAGCCAGCCCTTGCTCTGCTCGCGCCAAAACAGCAGTGAACGGAGGCTCTGGGGCCGCCCCAGTGGAGACAGGGTGCTGGGCTTGACCAACAGTCTACCAGAAGCTGCTGTTCAAAGCTGTATCTGGTCGTCTCTGAATGATCCTGTCACCCAGAGACACCACGAGAGAAAAAGACTTGGGCCTGAACTCCCGAGGGACCCTGGTGACTCCGCCTTCCAGGCTGCGCTCAGAGGGCCCTGCACCCCACCCCTGCCTGAGCAGTGCCCAGTGCCCCAGGCCTCCCTACCTGTGGCAAGCGCCTCAGCGGTGGCCAAGTGCATGATGGTGTTGTCACTCACTGGCCACTTTCCGGGAGACAGCACCAGGTGGTCGAGTCCCCCGATCTTCCGCAGCTCGTCCTGGACGGAGCCCAAGGCGCTGTTCTCCCTGCAGACATTGGCGTAGCCCAGGGCGTCGCCCACACTCCCCAGCAGCATTGCGGCTGTGAACTTCTCCATCTCAGAGGTGGCTCCACACACCCTGCTGCTGCCTTTGTCCTTCCCTGGCCGCCCTCAGCCCACTTGCTGACATTTATACTGGTCATTGTATCGCTGTCCAGCGCCTCTAAGTGGCTAGGCACTCCTTTCCTATCTCCGCAGGTGGCACCAATGGGAAAAACTTTGACCCGACCACGTGGGCGGCCTCAGCCTCTGCAGTGCTGGCTGCCGGCACCGGGCTGGCTGCAGGCGTCCAGAGCAACTCTGGCACCTCCTGGAAGGAGCGTGCCCACCCAGGGGCGGGGCAGGGCGTGCCCCTGGGACCTGAGGCGGCTTGCCTCTCTCGGCCTGGCTGCCCTAGAGCCTCGGAGCCCACCCTGGCCCTCTGCTCTTCCCCAACCACCCCCTGCGGTTTCTATAACTTTGCCTTTTCTAGAAATTTCAAACAAATGTATCTATCTCGCTACACGCTAAACGTTTCTAGAAGTTTGTGGCCTTGTGTCCTCTGAATGTCACTCATGAGTTTCATCCTTTAAACAATGTTTCCAGATTATGAAATGTTGATAGAAAACTAAGTGAAGGCTCCTCATGGCAGATGAGGCACTACCTGGCCAACACCTGCAACAGGCCCAACAGGGCTCAAGGTGGGATGGTGGCCGGGACGACACAGCGTGGCGTCTGGTTACTGCACCAGAGCTCAAGGTGACGACCTGTGCCTGTCAGCTGGGAGAAGGACACTCACAAGCATGGCCTACCGCAGAGCTCCTGGCCCCGAGCTTCCCTCCTGCTGGCACCCAGAAGGGAGGAGCCACTGAACTTCAGAAACCTGGCCCCGGCACTCTGCACCACCAGCGCTTGCTGAACTGAGATGCTGGGCTGTCCTTCCAGGCAGCACAGTTTCAAGATTCTGAAACCCAAGTCCTTCAGAACCAGAAGGGGAGCAGGTTCCAGTGCAAACAGGACAGCACAGCCACCAGGAGGGACAGTGGCCAGGCTGGGGTGCGGCGTGCTGGGCACAGGCCTCACTGCTCAGAAGCGGTGGGCAGCTCTGCTGAGGGGGCTGGGGAATGATTTCCAACCATCTGCCTACGCCACAAGGAGCCAGGGGCTCACACACGGCCTCTGTGCACTCAGTTACTGACAGCGCCCACTCTGCCAGTCGGGTCGGGTAGCAACACAACTCAGCTCACTTTTTTTTTGTGGTGCTGAGGACTGAGCCAGGGCCTTGTGCATGTGAGGCCCGCTCTCCAACTGAGCCAGATCCCCAGCGCCTCACTTCTTGGTCCCCAGGAAGCCTGAAAGGTGCACAGTTCTGGAACACACTGTCAGTGTGGGAGAGGGTGGTGCCTGTCCAATACCCCAGGGAGGAGCTGGTACCGCAGAGGGTCACTTTCAACCCAGCCGTGGCTTCGTGTTCGGGTCCACAATTCCCATGCCCTCCTCTGAGGGCTCTTTATTGAGTGTGGGCATCAGTGACACTGAGGAAGAACTGCAGAGACGGGAGCCGTCTGTCTAGGTCACGGTTACCTACCTGGGTCGGACACCAGGGGTCAGGGCCCCTGGACAAACAGCAGGGTCCCACCATCTGGTGGCAAATTATCTACACAACCAAGAAGATCAGAACATGGGCTGGGGATGTGGCTCAAGCGGTAGCGCGCTCGCCTGGCATGCGTGCGGCCCGGGTTCGATCCTCAGCATCACATACAAAGATGTTGTGTCCACCGAAAACTAAAAAATAAATATTAAAAAAAAATCTATCTCTTAAAAAAAAAAGATCAGAATGACTAGTCTGGAGAAAACACTTTATTGCGGTATTTTGAAGTTCTTAGCATCTTTGCAGCATGCAGGACTCAAAGGTTGACTAATGGAAGCAGCAGAACACAGGTCTTTGAAGTCTGACCAAGTTCACTTCAGTATCTATCGACAGTCCCACAGAACTTCACACTTACCCACAGAAGGACTGCGGGCCTCCCTCACTTCGTCACTGAATTCTACAAACTTCTCCGAACAGAACAGGAGTCCAGGCAGTCTAGGGGGGTGCTGTACTGCTTCTGGGGTTTTTATTACAGCCAGAGTTTATTTGATTGAAGAAATGCTGAGTTAGACTTAGAGATGGCTGTTTCCTCTTCCAGACAGGGCAAGAGAGCCTGAGAAAGGTCACATGGCCCGCCCTGAACAGACCAGCCTCGCCCTCAGGCCTCCGTCCCTGCGGCCCTCTGCAGCACTGGTAGTTGCCCACATTGCAGGGCACATGGTCCTCAGGCTGCGAGGGGCTGCTCCCTAAGGCTGTGGCATGTCCACACAGAAGCTAAGCACAGAGCAGGTTCCAGGGGTACCCTGTGCACAGGACATGGAGATGGCCAGAGAGCCCGGCCCGTCTCTCCATGGCATGCTGCAGGAGGGCAGCAAGGCACGCTGTGGACAAGGTCTTGTAGTGCGTGCTCAGGTCAGCACAGTGCTGTTCAAAGCTCAACAGCAGGAGAGTGGCCCCCCGGGCCTCTGCACCTCATGCACCAGTGGCTCTGGGCGTAAACTCAGGCTGTAGCTTGCAAAAGAGATAAGGGTCCAGGTGTGGGCTTTGCATCCACGTGAGGATGGCTGTAAGGCCAGACCGTAGGCACTGTGGGACTGCAGACAGGTGAAAGGGACAAGAGCATTTGATTTTAAATTTGTAATTCACCATTCAAAAAGGAAAATGGAAAAATGTCTTTTTAAATAAAATATATTAAAAGTACAGAACTTCTCAGGAAGTTGAAATAGCATTGTCAGAAAGACAACAGTCTGATTGCTGCATCATGCCCACACACGACACTACTGCAGACTGCAACGGGGCCTTAAATATAAAATGGGTCTCAGATAAACATCCCGAGAGAACAAATATCCAAACCAGAGATAGCACAACCCCAGGAGGAACAGCACTGGGTCCCTAGGTGAGCTGCATCCTGGCACTGGCCGTCTGACTTGCACATAACCACATCCTCCCGGGACAGACAGGGCTCTGTACTGGGATCACAATGTGACAGGGTGCGATTGGTAACTGCTGGTGTTCACCTTGAACCTGCATCAGACAGCAATCTCCTAAAGCAGCAGCTACAGCAAGCGTGCCGACCCCGGCGGCGGCTGTCCTCTGGGGGAGCAGCCCCACGGAGCCCACCCCAGCCTTGTGGCTCTGAGCAGGATGCGTTCCAGCTCTGGGATGGCAAGGACGGTGGCTGAGACTGGCAGCGAAGCACACAGCACCACCCGGTGTGCCCTGCAGGATATGGCTGGCTCCGGACCTGCTCCACCTTCAGCTGTGTTTTCCACCCGTGAGCACTGGCCGTGCATACTCCACAAAGTCATCGATGAGGACAGGCCATGCTCCTGGAGAGAAGCAGACACAAGTCTTTAGAAGTCACCATTAGCGCCACTGCTACACTCAAAGCACTTTTTCCAAAATCCTATTTCAAGAACCCAAATGATCTGCAGTTCACAAAGCTCACGTTTCACCAAATAATTGGCTGAAACCACCTAATTCTTTTGCCAGCAGGCCAGGGTCAGTGAGCCATGGTGTGACATGGCCTGTGGGCAGTACACTGCTCACTGACTGGGTGCTTCCTTGGTTGGCCTCCAGACAGCTGGGACCAGCTGATTTGGGACAGAAAGACGGAGCCATCTGTGCTCTGCAGGAAGGAGCAGCTGTTCTCTGCAGTCGGGGGCACTCTGCCCAGCAGTGGCACTGCCTCCCTGCTGGCTTCCCAGCCAGGTTCCTCACAAAGGCCCCGCCCCACCCAGCCCAGGGTGTCCCCCCAGTCCCTACAGCCCCTGCATCAAGTGCTGTCCGAGCCGTCGGCCATCTGCATAGACGGTGACCTCCCAGAGCTGAGCTTGTGCAGGCTGCAGCACTTGATCTCCCACTTGAGTCACTGCTCGGACCTACGTGAGCCAGACACCGGCTCGTGCTCAGGACAGAGAGGAGCTGTGCCACAGACAGCACTGCCACGAGCAGGGAAAGGCCCCAGGGCTCCAGGAAGAGGGTCCCAGAGCAGTCCTGGCCAGTCCAGTGAGCCCAGAGGCAGGTCCTGGAGGGGAGGCCTCTGCTGGGACTGCCCCCCCCCCCCCGAGTGGCATGCTTAGGCCCAGGAGGAACCTAGACCCCCAGAATAGGCCTAGGCATGGGGCATCTAATGCCCACAGCCACATAGGCCACCAGAGATCTCCCTGTCAGCGGCAACAGCAAGCACTCTGTGGGACCCTCAGAGACCAACAGGAAGGGGCACTCTCTGCCCTCAGCCGTGGAAGGGCTGCCTGTCTGGGCAGTGCTGCCCTTCCCTCTGAAGTCCTACAGTGTCTAGTACCTTCTTCATCGTAGTTAGACATATCATCTGCAATCATGTTTCCAAAATCTAGCAGAAGGTTCCAAGTGTCCCGTGGAATCGATCTTTTGTGATGTTCCTAATACACAAGAGGGAAAACCCCAGCAGATTAAGGTCCAGAGCTCAACCCTCAGGTATCTTAGTGGCCAAGGGTCCTCCATCCATGAAAGATTATCTGACAGGCAAAAAGCACAGCCATGTGTGTCCCAAGGAGAAGCAGCAGTGGTACCTTGCTTAAGCACAGAGAGTCCCCCCGGAGCCAGTGTTCCAGTATAGACTGGCCCAAAGCAGAAGCAAATGTTTTAAATACTAAAATCATAAATTCCTGTGCGGTCAAACTGAAGGGCAGCATTTTCATCTCCTGACCTCTTTCCCCACCAACTCAGAGACACTGTGGGACAACAAGCAAATCATATTCCTATTGATCTTTACGTGTCTATTTTTCTCTGAATTTGCTAGCTCATGCAGGGACGGGCTGACTCTGAAAGTATGTCAGTCGTATTTCAGAAACACCAAAGCCCTGAGGGCAAACGTGACACCTGGGCCCGCAGCAGGACCGCCCTGCCTCTCTCGCCAACTATTTCTTCTGCCTTCTTCAGAGGTGCTCAGTCTCTTGAGGGTGGCACTGTCGTTCTGCCACACACATGCCCACGGCCATGAGCAGCTCAGGAGCTGAGCAGATGCCACGAACCCTGACTCAACTACGGCAGTTCCCTACTGCTTGTCCTTCTCCATCCAGCGGGGCAGCATCCAGCCCTGCGGCTCTCAGCGACCCTGCGGCTCTCGGCTGCGCTGGCTCTGCTGTCCTGAGGCTCTCCGCTGCCCTGCGGCTCTCGGCCGCCCTGTGCTGGCTCTGCTGTGTTGACTCTCACTTTGTGGCTCTGTGGCAAGGTCGGGGGCTGGGGTGTGGGGGTGGTGGGCACACTATCTAATTCCCCATGGCTGCACAGCGGGACACAGTGCCTGACCTCGCTTGCTCCTAACAGGCCCAATAAGGCTCCTTGCCCTCCTGAGCACTGCAGAACATATTTTAAAACCTCCCCAGAACAGACACACGGTGGCTGCAACCTCTGGACACTGGGACCTGGTACACAGCTCTGGAGCCCCTGCCAACCGGCAGTGAGTTTGGCCCAGGCCTTTCCTCAAGGATTTGAAGTTTCTCAGGATTAACGGAGTTTTTTTTTGGCATGGGGTCCTTGGAGGAGATGGCAGATCCAGGTCTGCAGAGGTGCACCTCACTCTTCTAGAACCCATCTTGCGGGGTCTCTCCTGGCCTCGGGAGGGTGGAGCAGCACCTCTCCTGACACCAGAGGCCCTCCGAGCAGGACCTGTCCACCTAGGACCTCCAGGTGGAAGGTGTCAGGTGATTATCATCACACTCAGCCTCAAAGCTGATGGCCTCCCCGTAGACTGGCACACCCAGCAGGAAACCCAGCACTTACCAGCAGAAATGTGTTCCAAAGATCTAAAAATTTAAACCTTCCCGATAACACTAATTTCCAATATGCAACAGCCATTTCTAAATCTGGCAAAAAAGAGAAATAGTAGTTAATAAATTCCTATCTCTTTTTCTACTGCATAAGAAATGATACTCACTTGATTGTTAAAATTTGGCAATTTTATCCAAGAGTCACATGAGGCCTAATCTCACTCAATTCAGGAATACAAATGTTCCTGAAAATGATATATTAATTTTCTGAATCTGAGGAAGTTTTATATTTTAATTATCTGAATCTGAGGAAATTTCTTGAAAAAAGGAATCGTACTGATATTTGGAAATGCAAGTAATCTGTTCCCTAATGAGTCAGTTTGGGAGACTTCCACTTCATAGACACCAGTCCTTCGATAGTCCTGACTTGATCTGGTAACTATTAACAAATATCATTTATTTTTTGAAACAGCTGGAAACATCTTATCCAGAAAGAAGGGACCCCAGTCTCCACCAGCCTGCCCCCTCTTGCTGCCAAACAAGGTAGACTTAATGCTTGGGATCACTGGCTGCAAGCACATTAGCCAGGCACTCCAGCCATGCTGATCCCGCACTCTTGGTCAAGGTGATCAGCACATGTGGGGAGAAGGATGAGTAAGACTCTGGCTGCTTGTCAGTCAAAGCCAAAGCTCTCCTGGAAAGGCGGAGGTCGATTCTCGCCTTCTATGAACGCTAGGGGTGCCACTTTAGATACAGCTGAAGAAATGAAGGCTGTGCTTCAGGTATGCAGCACACAGCATCTCCAAGCTACAGTTTTCCTGTACTCGTGGATTCTCTGTTGAATGGGAATTTTAAATCATTTCTTATGGGTTAGGATTGTGGCTCAGTGGCAGAGCACTTGTCTTGCATGTATGAGGCAATGAATTTGATCCTCAGCACCACATGAAAATAAATAACATAAAGGTATTGTGTCCATCTACAACTAAAAAAAAATTTTAAAAAATCACTTCTTATAGGCTTGCCATAGTAAGTATGTAAGGGGTGAAGAAGTTTATTTCTTAAAATGGACCACCTTTCATCGGAATACAGCTTCCCTCTGGTAAGCAATACAAGGACGAGTTACATGGAAATAACTTCTATTGCTGCTCACGTGTGTGTCAGGTCATGTGAAAGAAGACTGATATATTAAGCTAAAAATTAGTTTAAATGCAAAACTAAATACTTTTCAAAAGATTTTTTTCTAGGTCTGGCTTAGTTCCACTTGACAGAAGCCATCAAGCTGGAACTCTGTGACCTGAGCTCTCCAGGGCTGAGCAGTAACACCAGGCGGAGGCGAACACCCAGCTGCAACCAGCACCAGCAGAGTGTCTTAAGCCTGTGTGCTCAGGTCTCCAGCAACGAGCCTCAACAGAAAGACAGACAGACAAAGTTCCGAGTGCCGGGCACGTGAAGGAGCTGTCTGAGCCTTACCTAGGGGACCCGCAGGGCAACGCTAAGATGGTCATCTCGTCCTGCTCATAAGCCTACATCCTCACCACTTAGGAAGGCCCTAAGTGAGGTCTACATTCGACTCATCTTAATGATGACAAGCTCTCCCATTGGGAAATGGAGCTGAACCTGGGGAGGAAGAAGACAGAGTTTTATGGCATATGTGTGTGTGTGTATATATATATAGATCATCTCGTTATTCCTGGGCTCATTTTGGTCCTTCCATATGAAGTATCTGTTTTGGATGTGTGCAAATCACATGACTAAAAAGTAAATGTACGTATTTTCAATATCTAATACTATTTGTGTAAAAATGCCACACTATACCAATGGACTTGGCTATTTTCAAAAGAAAACAACCAAAGTCAGAGTGGTAGAAGCGAGGCTGCGCTGGGGTGGGAGGTGCTCTGGTGCTAGATCTCCATGGCAGCAGTTTTCCCCCAAAACCTCTAAGACGTCTCATCTCCTGATGTTACCGCAGAATTCAGCTTGCAATGCTCAGTCGCAGGCTACATAATGAAGATGACCCACTGTCCAAAAAGGATCTTGGGCCAGACATAAAAATTAGTTTATTATCATGATACCTTCCCCCAAAAGCAAGATTCTCAAAGCCAACTGATTCTAGCTCTAGCCAATGTGAAACCCTGAGGTTTTAGAGCCACACCGAGGCTGTAGCTCCATTGTAGCTCAATCCCCTGGCATGCTGGAGGACTGGGTTAGGTCCCTGGCACCACAGCAGTGAGTCTAACCACTCTACTCACCATAGGCTGACCACCAACTAAGTACAGGGGTTCAGTAATCACACACGGGAACAACACAGCAGTGAGATGTACGGGTGGGTGCCTACAGCCCCAGAGTTTGGTAGGATGGTCACTGGACCCCAGGAGTTGGAGCCCAGCATGGGAAACATAGCGATGTACACTATGAGGGGAGACTTGAGGGGAGAGCTGGACAAAGCTCTCTGGATGCCACTGCCCGCTGCTGCCCATACCTCTGCTAGGAGGTGTGGGAAATGTGTGCCTGTCTCTTTAGGTTGTGTGACTCTTTAGAAGGCAAATGTACAACAATGCACTTTGGAAAAGGCAAACTGATCATGTTTAGTCTAAGGAAATAAAAGGACAGTCCTTTGTTCTAGTAAAGGAACTATGAATTTGTCTTATCTCATTGGTGGGTCTCTTCTGTGGCTTGCCAGGCTGAACAGAGGCTCAGATCTCACACTGCTTCAGGGCATTCCTTGCCCTAAGCTGAACATCGCTGAAACATTCAGAGGAAAAAATACATTTTTTAACTTAAATTTTTTTTTTATTGTTGCAGCATTAGGACTAAACCCAGGGCCTTATGCACACCAGGCAAGCACTCTACCACTGAGCTATATCCCTGGCTTGAATTCCCCAACTTAGGGAATTGCTTTAGGCTGCGACTTACCACCTTATGGAAGGTGGCAGTGTTGCATGGAGATCATGTGCCTGTGCAGCCCCTCCCTCCTGCAGCCCCTGAGCTGTAACAGGGCTAGGGAGACTCCTGGAAAGAAAGCCAGATCTAGCAGGGTTCCTGGGTGCTTCCAGCAGCCCAGCCACCAGCTGAGATGACCCCGAGCTCTGTTGACCTGGGGGAACAGAAGGGTGGCCCTGCCAAGTCCTGCCTGAACCCCTGATCCTAAAGATCAGGTGCTGCAAAAAATGATGATCACCAGAAGCCACGAAGTTCCCAGGTGGTCTGGTCTGCAGAGGTACAGGCCAAGGAGTGGATCTGCAGCAAGAGTGAGACTCTGCCCCTGGAAGCTCCCAGTGCTGAGGCTGTGGCAGGGGACCCTGCAGGGCCTAGAAGAAAGTTCTTCTACTGCTCTACATCTGAGGTTAACCTGGTGCCAAAAGACAGACACCCTCAAAGCACAATCCCTACACATGGAAGGCAAATGGAGTGCTAACCCTGTCGGTACTTTTCACTTCAACACCAAATAGATGCAATCTCCTGGAATTCAAAACGGAAATTATTTATTGCTAACAAGTTTAATTATCCTAATATTATACTGAAGATTCTGAAGAAAACAGAAAAATACTTTTTGATCATTCATTAAAAATTCAAGGTGTTCTTCCCTGACAACCATTTAATGCTAAAGAACAGATGTTGTTTAAACACTTGGATCAGACTGCTGCTTGCATCTTTTTTTTTTTTGGGTACTGGGAACTGAACTCAGAGGTGTTCTACCATGGAGCTGTAACCCCAGCCTTTTTTATTTTTGAGACAGGGCCTTGCTAACTTGCTGAGGCTGGCCTTGAACTTGTGATCCTCCTGCTAAGCCTCCCAAGGTGCTGGGACCATGGGCTGTGTGCTGGCTGATAAACTAATGGTCATTTTGAAAATCGAACTGGACAAATCTCTAAGAAATAAACTGCTCAAAGCAAAGCTTTATCTAAACGCTCTGTTTGAGAAAAAATCATGGGAAGATCAAGGATTTTGAAGGCAGACCTGGAATGGCTGCCCAACCCTGTGTATGCATTTCATACCACTCAACTGTGCTCTTAGACTTCTCTGAACCCTCACAGAAACAGCAGCAGCAGCCAGACAGCCAAACCAAACCCACAGGTGACATCTGCAATACATCTAGATGTGAGGAGGTACCAGCAGGAACCCAAACCCACAGGTGACATCTGCAATACATCTGGAAGAAAAGAGCCCAGACAGGACACTCAAGACCCAGCACCCCAACATTAAAAGCAGGCCGCCAACACTGGGAAACACAGCAGAAGAGGAAGGCCATCCTGGCCACAGGTCCAGAAGAGCTGCCTCTGGGTCTGCAGCTGGGTTTCAGGAGACGGCGCAGCAGGGAAACAGGCAGGACTGCCAGCGTCCTCCCTGCACAGGCTTGCGGGAAATCAGGATGGAAACCAAATGTTGGTGGCACTTTTCTACCTCTGGGAGTGTTAAGCCACTTTCCAGTTTCTTATGTAATTTTAGACATCTTATGATACTGCTTTTATTTACAGGAGTTTTTCCTCAAACTACACTTTCTAAAAGACCACATATAATTCCACCAACAAACATGTGAGATTTGAAATTAACTAAACAAGATCTATTACATGCATGAGGCAACCAATCTATCAGCATAGATAGATTTTTAGAAAGAGGTAAGGCAGAAATAACTATGCTTAGGTGCAAAACAAAACAAATCAAATTCTCAAACTAAAAAAATTTTTTTCTTGGTTTGTTCTGGTATTAGGATTGAACCTGGAGTGCTTAACACTGGGCCACACCTTCAGCCCTTTTTATTTATTTTTGAGACATGGTTGCTGAGGCTGGCTTTGAACTTGTGATCCTCCTGCCTAAGCCTCCCAAACTGCTGGGATTTCAGGTGTGTGCTACTACGCCCAGCTCAAATTGAAAATCTGAGTTGAAAACATCCTGGATGCACTGCCTACAAAACACAAGCAGCCACACGACTGTCAAAGGAGGAATGAGGTGCACTTCCATGCACAGAACTGGCTCCGAGCAGGTCAGCTCAGCTCCCCAGAACTGCCCAGTTAGCCTCCCCTGGCCATTCTCAAGGAGAGGACATGGAATACCTGTAACTCAGTCGATACCTCAGAATTTAGATAGTTAAACAGAGAAGATAAGATGGAGACACTGCTGGTTGAGGTTTTCAGGTGCGTGATGAACAAGGTGAGAGAACCAGAACAGGATGGTAGCAGCGTGGCTGGCTGCACGGAGACCCACTGACACAGCCAGTCCTCCCACGCAGACCAGGCGCTCACGGGGCGCCACCCAGGGCTCCTACTCACCTAGGCCCTTTTGCCCAGGGTTCTTAGCAAAGGTGAAGGTAAACTGGTAGAAGTCCTTGAACTTCACGGAGTCCTGCAGCTCTTGCTCTAGGCTGGGCAGAAGGGTTCTGAGCTTCTCGGTGCTGTCACACCTGTGACGAGAGATGGCTTGTCACCTGCGGCAGAAGACCTATTAGTGTTCCCCTCTCCCACCCCACAGGAGCTAGCCCCAGCTTCCCTCTTGACTGGGGTGGCCAAGGCCCAGTTCTATGACTACTGTGGGTGGGGCTGGGTGCACGGCTTCTCTCCCCGAGAACTCAAGTGCGGTGGGCTGTACTGTGGTGATGGTACACAACTCTGCACATACCAAGGGCACCCACTGAGGACTCCGTGGTGAGGTACCTGGCCTCTCAGCCACACTGGAGCGAAGCAGTCTATCCCTACACCTCTGACCACAGGAACACGAGATGGGCCACCCTGCCAGCTGGGCTACTGCTGCCTCTCAGCAGCCACCATGAATAAGCCTCATTCCTTCCTTCAATATTGAGTGCAGCAGGTGCCCTTCAAATAGCTAGGTACTCTAAAAACTATTCCAGAATTAAACATACCATGTTGTGTTGAATTTTCCTCCAAAAAGTAAAGTATCTTTAAAAATATTAACTGATCTGGGCTAGGATGCATCTCATAAGTACTTGCAAGCAAATATGAGGCCCTGAGTTTGGATTCCAGTACCTCAAAAGAGGGGGGTAAAAACCTCAGTAAAAATAACAGACTCTTGGTCTGGGGTTGTGGCTCAGCGGTAGAGTGCTCACCTCGCATGTGCAAGAAAGACCGTGGGCTCGATCCTCAGCAACACATAAAAATAAATAGGTGAAGTAAAGGTACTATAACTAAAATATATTAAAAAATAAGTAAATAAAAAAATTAAAAGACTCTTATATCAGCTGCACAAGGAACAGAATGGTGCTCCACTTCACGTACCCCTTACTCCCGCGTGCAGCAGAGTGGAAGAAACTGGAGAGAGCCTTGGAGCACCATCACCACCTGCAGCAGGATGCCCTGGCCCTCGGTCTCCCTCCACCACTTCCACACCTTGAGCAGCACACGCTGCACAGGGGCCTGGGAGGCCTGTTCTGGCAGTGTGTGGGCCACTGCTGATTTCCTCTTGCCATACAGAACTCGGTCCCGCAGTGCTGGTGCTGAGCCCGCAGCTGCTTCCCTTTCAGTTGTGCCAAGAGTTCCAGCACAGGTGTGCTCGGGTTGGCACATGCCCACAGGGGCTGCGCACCTCTCCCGAGGTCGGAATGACACCAGAACTGGGTCCACTTCCACCCTGCACCTGTGCCTTTCTCTACCAGGCCACCTGTTGGGTTCTATCTCACTGAGGCCTTGCCTGGACCTCCCCAGGAACAAGACCGGCTTCCTGTGCTTTCACTGGCCACGTGGGACCCTCTGGTGAAGCACTGATTCAAACTGCTTATTCCACCAGCGATTCTTCACTATTTGTAGGAATTGCTGAGACACAGGTGTTTGTCGGCTGTTTTAAAAGAACTCTCCCAGAATGCCTGCTGCCTGCTTGCTCTTCCTATGGCTCACACTACAAGATACACAAAACACGTGTGTGTGTGTGTGTGTGTGTACATATTTTTGGTACTGGGGATTGAACTCAAACAGTGCTTTACCACTGAGCCACATCCCAGCCCTTTACTTTTTATTTTGACACAAGGTCTCACTAAGTGGCTTGAACTTGTGATCCTCCTGACTCAAGTTTCCCAAGTCGCTGGGGTTACAGCTTGTCCACTGTGCCTGGTCCCAGATTCTTATTTTTAGTGTGGATACTCTATCAGTCTTTTCCTGTATAGTGACTTTTTCCCCTTTGGTAGGGTGACATGTTTTACAACTTCCTAGTCACAACTGTGACTTGTGCTGGGCACTAACTGAACTGGGCCTCACTCTAGAGCAGGGGCTCTACCACGGGGTTACGTGCTCAGCCCAGATGATCTTCTTCATTTCCTAGAACTTTCTGCATTTGCCTTTAGCTCTGAGATCTACAATCTTAAAACCCACTTTCATATAATAGATATAATACTTACTCAAGATTTAACTTTTTTCCTCAAACCAACCAATTCTCCCAGGACAGGGGTGTACCACCAATGCCTGGCAGTATTTCGTGGTTTTTTGATGATACTGAAAATAACATACATTTTAAAAATTCACTTGTTTTGTAGTATTTGGTCTCACACATCCTTAGATTTCTTTTTTAATATATATATTTTTAAGCTGTAGGTGGACATGTACCTTTATTTTTATGTGGTGCTGAGGATTGAACCCAGTGCCTCACATGTGCCAGGCAGGCACTCCACCACTGAGCCGCAGTCCCAGGCCCCATCTTTACATTTATCCTGTGTCTGTCCCTGTCTCAGGGGAGCAGCGGCTTATGATGCAGTAAGTACACTGTCTGTCCTAAGATTTACTGATGCATTCATCTGTTTCTTTTGGTCAAATTCAGTCCAATCACGAGTGGATGTTCCGCTCCACAGGACATCTTATGCCCTGAGGTCACCTTTTCTTTCCTTCTGCTGCTAATGGCTATGTCACAAGTCTCCCACTCCTGGGGGACAGCAAGCCTTGCCATGATGCATCACCCTACCTTTTTGGCTGCGGATTTGTCTCAGGGCTGGATTTAGGATTTCTGTATCTTATGTTCCTCTTATAAACCTCCTGGGTCTTGTGCATGAACCTGGCTATAATTCCCTGTTATCAGAACTTCTGTCTTAGTTTTTGTTTTTCAGGTTGTGTTGGCCTCAAAACAAATCAGAGACTGCTTCCATTATTCTGTCTGGAAGAAACTGATCACATTGTTCTTTATTATTTTATTTATATGCAGTGCTGAGTGCCTCACACATGCTGGGCAAGCGCTCTACCACTGAGCCACAACCCCAGCTCCACATTGTACTTTTAAAAAGAATCTATTTTGCATATACTATTAAATTTATTGGTATGAAATTGTTCATAATAAATCTATTTCTTGATGTCTATAGGATCCACAGTGGTGCCCCTTTTCATTTTGTATTGGTCATTGTTATTTAAAGTTTCTAAAAAGTTTTTTCAAATAACATGCTTCTGGTTTTACACACCTTTTATACCCACAACTTCTTTTTTTTTTTTTTTACTCTTTTCTTTTTTTTTGGTACTGGGGATAGAACCCAGGGCTTTGCTAATGCTAGGCAAGTGCACTATCACTGAGCTACATACCAGCCTTCTCAACTTTTAAATTATGTTTTCTACTTCTGCTTATTTTTAAAATTAATGCTTTCTTCTACATCCTTTTGAGTTTAACTTCCTGCTCTTCTACTTTCGTTGACCCTGGAGGTGGAACCCAGGGCCTTGAGTGTGCCAGGCAAGCTCTACCACTGAGTCGCACCCTAGTCTTCTTTTTCTACTACCTAACATGGACATTTTTGCATAATGATTGTCAGCCATTCTTCTTTCTCAAACATACATTTAAGAAGCTGAATCCCACAAGCGTTTTTTTTTTTTTTGGGGGGTGGGGTGGGGTACCAGGGATTGAACTTAGGGGCACTCGACCACTGAGCCACACCCCCAGCCCTATTTGTATTTTATTTAGTGACAGGGTCTCTCTGAGTTGCTTAGCACCTCACTTTTGCTGAGGCTGGCTTTGAACTCAAGATCTTCCTGTCTCAGCCTCCTGAGCCACTGGGATTGCAGGTGTGCACCAGCATGCCTGGCCTATAAGCTTTTGTAGCAATATTTTCTTCATCAATTATTTTCTAATTTCTACTGTAACTTGTTTTTCAAACCAAGGGTTATTAGAAGTGTGCAATATTTGCACATATTTCAACCCAGTCATCTTCTTAGTAACCCTAGTTTAGCTGCCTACAGTGAGAACACGTGCCTCTGTATCATCTTAATCCTCTACAATTTGTCTTAACTTTATGCTCATGCTGGATTTTTATGAATGCTCTATTTCCTGAAAAACGTAGGGCGCACTCATCAGCATCACAGGCACTGCTCTAAACATGCTCCCTAGGACGCTGTGTTGTCCAGTCTTTTGTTTCTTTACTGATTTTTCACTGGTTCAATTCATCAGTTACTAGGATGTGTGTGGGAATTCCTCACCTTGTATCTTCCTCTTTGTAGTTGTTTATTTTTGCTTTATTGAGCAAGTCCAGAAAAACAGGAAGACTTTTGCTTCCCTAGTGAAATGAACCTTTCATCATTATGAAATGTCCTTCTTCGTCTTCAGAGCTGCTTTACTTTAACATCAACGGTGACACAGTTTCAATGTCTGCATGACACATCGACTGCTGACCTTCCCTACTGGACCATGCCCTGTGTTTTAGTTGTATCTATAACTAACAACATGTGTCAGTTGATTCAACGGAATTTCTAAAAATTTTTCTGTTTTAAATAATTTTGTTATTTAGAAATTATATGTATGTACTCTCCTACTATTTGTGCGTAATTAGTAGTCAATATCTTCTCCCATGCGTTTATTTTCTTCTTTTGCAGTGCTGCGGACAGAACTCAGGGCCTTGTCTGTGCTGGGAAATGCTACCATTCAGCCTTGTGCCTAACGCCCTTTTGAATGTTTACTAGTGTCTTTGTACCAGTAGCAGTTAACTTGCATGAGGCCAGTGCCTCAGCACCTTCCTGACTTCTCTAAGAACACATTTGATTCAGTGTCTCTTTATTCAGCATTGTACCGGAAAACGGGGATGGCTCCCCCAGAGTTCCAAAGGGCCAGGAGTACAAAGAAACCAGCTGCAGAACCACTGTCAGAGGGAGCTCTTTGTTGGTTTTGCACAATCACCAAGAACGGGGTGAGCATCATTAGGAGGAAAGGCTTGTGGAGTTCACTGGCCAAACAGACGGCCATATCAACGCAAAGCGTCAGTTTGGTGGAAACACCGGCAAGGACTTTTATTTGAGAAATATAACAAGCAAAAAGCAAAGTAAGACTTTTATAAATAAGAATTATGTATTTAATATAATAAGTGTAATACATTATATAACATATAATAGTGTAAAATAGTTTGGTTGGGAAAAAACTCTACTATTGACTGTCAATTTAAATTTGGAAGGGAATAAAAAAGAAAATGAGTTATTAAAGGGGTAATGTGAATAAAAATAATAAATAAAACTTGAAACTGGAATTCAAAAGGCTTGTGTAGTTGTATAAGATATTTATAGAATATGTAAAGAAAATGCACAGATATATAATTAGAAGTCCCCCCACCCCACCAGGGGATTCAACCCAGGGGCGCTTAACCACTGAGCCACATTTCCAGTCCTTTTTATTTTTATTTTAAGTTGCTTAGGGCCTTGCTGAGTTGGTGAGGCTGGCTTTGAACTTACAGTCCTCTTGCCTCAGCCTCCCAAGTTGCTGGGGTTATAGGCATGTGCCACTGTGCCCAGCCTAAAATTATAATTTATAAGTTGAAAATTACTAATGTGGAAAGTATGTTCCCTTCTATAGAAGCTTAAACTAAGAATGGTTTACCTACCCCAGCTCGGTCATGCCGTCCATGAACTCCTTCCTGCTGAATTCGCACTGAGTGGCAGCCCTGAACTTCCATGCTATGACCAGAACGCTGATGCTGGTGGGGTCCAGCCTCAGATCGTCACAGAATTGCTGAATCCCATCAATCCCGATTCTGTCTCCATCTTGCGGGTCTGTAGTTAAAGTCAATGGGGTTAGGGTCACACCACCTGGTTACATAACTCCGGCAAGTAAACCTCAGACACACACCAATGGACTAGCTTTCTACTACCTATGAAAGAAACAGTGGGCAACAAGTAACGACTTACCCAAAAATCAGTCCTATCTTTAAAATCTAGATTTGCTTGCTTCTAACAGTGCTATGGGATTGAATCCAGTACCTCGGATATACAAGGCAAGCTCTGTGCTGCTGAGCTGCATCCTCGTTTGATTTCTGGGTTTTATCATTCAGGAGTAAGTTTAAGGAGTGGTTGCTCAGGAGTAGAGTGCTGGCCTAACGTGCAGAAAGCCCTGGTTTGAGCGGGAGCACCACCACCACAAAAAAAGAAGAAGGAAGGAAAAAAAGACTGGGATGTAGACCCAAGGTAGAGAAGCTATCTAGTGTGCACAAGGCTCTGTTTCATCTCTTGCACTGCAAAGCAATTCAATTTCCCTAAAGTAAGATAAAAATTCAAGTTTACAGAATTTTAGTTTCCTTGAAGACAAACTGCTACAAAAAATATTGCAGTGATAAAGGGTTTTGAATGCTTGGAATTTTTATCACAACTCCACCAAAGTAAAAAAGAATGATTGATCAATTTTTTTTTCTCTTTAAGTCATTTCATTTGCTAATTCTAATGCTACTAAACAATTACTTTCCAAAATCATTTAGATTTGGAGATACTGTGGCACACACCTGTAGTACCTTGGGAGCTGAGGCAGGAGGATTGCAAGTTTGAGACCAGCCTCAGCAACTTAGCCAAACCTGTCACGAAATAAAAAATAAAAAGGGCTGGGGATGTAGCTCAGTGGTAAAGTACTCTGGGTTAAATCCTCAGTATTTTTTTTTAAATTTTAATTTTTTTTAGTTGTAGTTGGACACTATACCTTTATTTTATTTATTTTTTAATGTGGTGCTGAGGATGGAACCCAGTCAGTGCCTTACACGTGCTGGGCGAGTACTCTACTGCTGAGCCACAACCCCAGTCCCTGAATCCTCAGTATTAAAAAAAATCAAATAAAAAAAATTTGGCTTTTGCATCTACACTTAACAGCATGGAAATTCAGGGCCCCCTACTTCTGCTTTAGAAATAAAATTAAGAAATTTAGCATCTGTCTATGAGAAAATCAAAACAGTAAAGTACACTGAAAGAGCCCAGCAAGACCTCACTATACTGAGCCCTTTAATTTCAGAAGGATCATGTATGTTATCATATATCATCATAACTGTGTGTGGATTCTATTGGTACAGAGATACAAATAAAAAATCTAGAGCTTCTTTGTTCAAATAAACCTCAGATGTGTTGAACTTTTCTTCTCCTTCATATGTAATTTAACTCTGATCATTTAAGTACTAGATATCACATTTTTTAAATATGTTGTTTCTAAAGAAAAATTAACATAAACCCTTCTAACTGTATCTTCTCATACAGAGAAACCAACCTCAGCTTTGGGAGTGTGACAAACGTTCTGTATTCTCTATTTCTATTCTATCTCCTGACATTACACCTCTGCAGATCAAAGAAAATCCCACTCTTATCAAACTAGCCATCCTGGTCAACTTCATGAGGTTCTCCTTCATTTGTATACATTAGATGTTATATTAGTACACAGTCTTTGAATTATATATTTAGAACTCAAAAGGATGTAACTGTATTTGAATTATATATTTAGAACCCAAAAGGATGTAACTTAGAAGACTAGCCTGCATGAATAGAATCAAGTAATGATGAAGGGATGAAGCTTAATAAATCAATTTCACTGAAGTGTTTTTTCAAAGACAGCTCTATTTGAATAATTATAAAATTGTGCAAAGGATATGACTTACAGAATTAGCTAAAAAAACTAAACACTAAACAGTTTTACTTTTTGAGAACTATGATAATTACAAATCTAGTGTTTTTCATTTTTAACCATATAGTAGGTTTCTGAACAGTTTTTTTTTTAAAGAATACAATTTTCAATCCATTTGCCCAACAGAGGGGGAGCAAAGAGACAGTATCTTTGAAAATAACAAATAAGAAAGTAAAAACCAAGAAAATTTTTCTATTGGGCGAACACTTGCTTAACTGAAAGTCTTTTTTTTTTTTTTTTTTTTTAAAAAAAGACTTAACCTTCAAAAACTACTAGAAAAAAAAGCAGTCCGTCAAGTGAATTGTTTCTGCCTTATTTGATACGAAATCTCCCGACCAACAGGGGTGTGGGTCTGTTCACGCTCTCACGCCCGCACATTCACTTCCATGGCATGTCTGCACTTTGATAAACAAAGCCACATGCTAGACTCTTCAATTAAAGTAAGTCGTGCCCCATGTCCACATGGAGCTGTCTCACTGAGAGAGAGCGCCCCCACAGGCCACAGCGTGGCACGAGGGCGCCCCCAGGGGGGAGAGGACGGTCACACCTCACTCTTCAGTAGTGCTCTGCCACAGATGTTCCAATCTAGATAAATGGTGGCAAAGACCCCTGTGCTATCAGGTGTGGTCACAGGCAGACTCCAGGCCAGGACACTGAGCCGGGATGCTTCCCACGACCACTAGGGTCACACCCCCTGCAGAGAACACGCTGTGGCTGCAGGTCACACCAGGCCAGCTTTCCAATGCCCCTCTTTCCCCTTTACTGAGAAAGGGGTTCTGGAGCTCAATGTGAGGAGGAGCAGCAGCTTGGAGCTCTGTGGTCCTTGGCACCCGAGGTCCCAGGAACAGTGCTCCCTCTGCTTGCTAGGGATGGCCTCTGGTCTGGCTCTGCTGCCACGTCATCCCTTACCTTTGTACCTGCCATACAGCTGCTCCAGCTTCCTCTGGTCCACAGCGTCCCGCATGGACTCCCTGTGGAACACGTCTGGGGTTTGGAAGAAGCTGGCTGTGGCCTCGTCTAGCTTCCACTCACTTTGCGTTAGGCAGTAGATGGCAGTTCTCTCACCAGCCTGAGTACACGCCATAAACTGGCGGACCTTGTCCTTCTGAGTCGACTTAAGCTTATGCTTTGGGATGCAAAAGAAGCAGGAGAGCCAATGAAGCCTCTCTAGGGTTTGTGTAGCCTCTACTTCTAATGCCTGCTTTTTAACTGGACTCAACTTCACTTCAGAGTTACAGGTCACCAGAGCCTTGTTCATCAGTTAAAAAGACTCCACAGTCTTCTGAAAACTGGAACGACAGCATCTATAGAGCAACAGATATGCCAAGTCCAGTCCTCAACAAATTGTGAGAATCAGCCTTTTACAGAAAATACATTTGATCACTACCTGGTTCCTCTTACACAAGCAGAACAGTCCCCCGCTTGAAAATCTCAGCACGAGCTCTCGGCAAGTCTAGCCCTCTGAAGACGAGGTAGGACCTGACTTCAGGGCAGGGTCCTCTGCAGGGGCTTTGCTTCTATTGAGCCCAAGTGCTACTGAACAGGAGGGGCCAGCAGTTTGAAACATTGAGCTTTCCAGTTTAAAAACAACTACAGTAATGAAAACATGCACACATAAAATAATTATCACATCAGCAGCATAAAAAGTTTGTTGTGACGAAATGAAAGTGATGACACTGGTCACAACATGTCTGTACGTGTGAGACAGAAACAGGGCAGGGCAGGAGGGTAGGCAAAACCAGCAAGCTGCAAGGGAACTGCGCTATCTATAGTCCATGATGAAACAACAGACACAGGGTGAAGGTCTCACTGCTCTAATGTCACCTGGTGAGAGCAACACCAGTGCAGAGCAACTGCTAACTTGGGCAAATTAAAGCAATCACCGTCATCTACTAGGGGCTGATTCTTCTTTTTGTTTTTTAATATTTTTTATTTTTTGGTGTAGATGGACACAACACAATGCACTTTTTTTCTTCTTCTCACTTTTATGTGGTGCTGAGGATTGAACCCAGGTCCCGCCTGTGCTAGGCGAGTGCTCTACCGCTGAGCCACAATCCCAGCCCCAGGGGCTGATTCTTTTTATTATACAAATGCTTTACCCAATACAAGGGGAAAAACTTTACTTACGAGGATTATATTCAATCTCGTTCAAATAAAGATGAGAATTTATAGAAACAGAATAAATTGCGACCTACAGGAAGATGTAAGCGGATGACAGATGGAGATGAAAAAACGGAGGCATGAGAAGAGCCAGGCTGTGACTGGCGGGAGACCCTGCGTACCACAAGCTGAGTACGGAGGAAGCAGGCTCCCGCATGCAGGTGCCACAGCAGAGAATAGGTCAGTTAGGATAACGTCTTTTTAATCAACGTAGGAACCCACAGTGGGTTCTTACTGATCCTAGTGGTTTCACTGATCCTGGTCTCGAACCTGAGGGAAGTGGCTTGGCCTGATTCCTCACCATCATGCCAAGAATAAGCACCAGAGGAAGCTACAGAGGTTTCTAAGGCAATCCAAGCATGCTGGTAGCAGAACACCAGCATAACTCAGCAGGAGTCAGTGCAGCCAGAAACACACAGCTGCTTCACAGGTTTTGGGCCCAAGACCTTTCCTGGATCTCACAATGTCAAAACTATTTCCCAAGAATTCAAAGCTGTCACTAGACAACCTCATGCTCATCTTGAGAGTGTGCAGGAGAGGCCTCCAGGCTGCCTGAGCCGTGATACCACAATAGGCTAAATGAAAAAGATTCAAGAACTTCTTTCCTTTGATACCAGATATTAAAATTATCTGCTGGGGCTGTGGTTGTAGCTCAGTGGTAGAGCACTTGCCTAGCATGTGTGACGCACTGGGTTTAATCTTTAGCACCACATAAAAATAAATAAAATACAGATATTGTGTTCATCCACAACTAAGAAATTTTTAAAAATCTGCAAAAATGAAATGTAAAAAAGTAATGTGCTTGCAATTATTAATCCTCACATATTTAAAAACTTATTTTAATTCCTGATGCAGTGAACATCAATGTCCATTAACCACATAAACAAAAGCTCTTTGGGTCCCCAATCATTCTTAAAAATACAGGGCTGTGGCCATATGAATCTCTTGTGGTTCTGCCACTGCAGGTGGAAGCAGACAGTGGGAATGGTTTATACACAAGTGGGTATGGCTGCTGGCCTTGACATTTCACTTATAAAAACAGGCAGCTAGTTTGTGACTGCTGAACGCGATCTAAATTCTAGAGTGACACATGGGACGTATATACATATACTATACGTTATTTCCCAAAACAGTTCTTGAAAAGAACAGACAAAGAATTCAAGGTTATATTCTCTAGTAAGATCAATCTAGTTAAATCAGGGAAGAGCTCACATGTCATGAGAGCCAGCTGACAAGTGATAAAGTCAGCATCTTTTTTGAAGATGGTCAAGGATGGACAGACACGGCCAAGAGTTGCTTCAAAAACTAAGACAAGACACACATGCAATCAGAAAAAGTCCCTCCTGAGCAACAGCCATAGCTGCTTTATTATGGAAGAGCCAACCAACACCATCCTGGTCATAAAACAAAATTCAGTCCATCCATATAACGGAATGTTATTTAGCCATAAAGGAACAAAGTAATGGCATATGCCACAGAATGGGTGAACCTCAAAAGGAACATGCTGAGCAAAAGTCAGACCCAAAAGGCTACGTGTCACATGATTCCATTTACAGGAAATGTTCAGAATAGGCAAATCTATAGAAACAGAAGGCAGATTAGAGGGTGCCAGGGGTTGGCAGGGAGGAGTTGGCAACGCTTGCTCATGAACAGGGTTTCCCTGGGAGTGATGAAAATGTTCTGAGACTTCATAGAGGTGGTGGTGGCAGAACACTGAATGTTCTAAACACTGACCTGCACACCTCAAAATAGCTAATTTTATGTCATGTGAATTCTACCTCAAAAAAATGTCAACATAACAGCTAGGCTTCCAAGACCAATGAGCAGAGTGGCACACCCCAGGTGGCTGTGTAATTTGACCAGCATTACACACTGATGGCTGCACATCAAGAAAACATGGGTCAGGCCTGGTGGTGCACACCTGTAATCCCAGCGGCTCCCGAGGCTGAGACAAGAGGATCTTGAGTTCAAAGCCAGCCTCAGCAAAAGTGAGGCGTGAAGCAACTCAGTGAGACCCTGTCTCTAAATAAAACACAAAATAGGCTGGGGATGTGGCTCAGTGGTCGAGTGCCCCTGAGTTCAATCCCCCATCCCTGAAAGAAAACACAGCCATCTGGAAGAGGGGATGATGTCTGACTCTGAGCTAGACTCCTGAGGATCACTAGTGGAGCCCTCCCCGGCGTGACAACAGTGCTACATTCACTGAAGAGAACATGCTTTGCAGATGCAGGTGAATAATATCTAGGCCATTCCACATGGTTTTGAAACTTTCCAGGTTAATCACAGAAGTAACTTAGGCAGAAGTGAAGACAGAAACACTGCCCCTTCTATGCGGGACAACCCAACTTTGGACTTCAACGGGTACCAAGGTGCTAGTTTGGCATGAGCAGCAGCAGCCATGAAGGAATAGCCAGGGGTATGTCAACAAAACTGCAAGATTTGATGTTTCCCACACCGGTTTCTCTATAAAGTAGCAGCAATTGAAACAATGATCAACAGTTACATCGAAGGATTGCATGCACTTCATGTCCAAAAGTAACTAGGAGATCCAGGTTCCACGGGTAGAAAAGGGAAAGTGAGGTTCATAAACGAAGCGCTGCCTCCATTTAGACACATGCAAATCAATGCGAGGTTAACCAAGGTCCGCAAACGGGCAGGACGAAGACCCAGGCACAAGTGCTGACGACTTTCAGCGAGGCTCACCAGGTCATGGAAAGCACAGCAGGGGGAAGGGAGTTTCCCAAGTCTTTTTAGTTTATTCTGCTAAAAGTACACAATTCTTGACGTAAAAATCGGGACAGTCCAGGGGAAAGAAACACCAAACAGAACCTCTAACCTGCTAAGCCTGCTAAGCCCTCAACGCTTTCCGAGCGACCCTGTGGGGAGCCCGGCCCCGGACACCACGGAGGCGAAACACGCATCGCAGACCTCCCTGCAGACAGGCCCAGGGGCACCTCCCTTCTCAGGGTAGCCGCCCGCCACCGCGCGGTCCCACCGCCGCCTGCCTTCTCGGCGACCCGGGCCCAACGCCGGCTTCGTCCCCCGCGCTACGGGGCCAGCGGCGTCCTCTCGGGACCCTGTGGGCCCGCTGCCATCGCTCGGCCCCGGCCGGTCTCCGCCCGGGCGACGAGCTCGACGCCCGACACCTACCATGCTCGCCGGCGCCGCAGCCCACCGGCCCTCGGCGCAGGCGCGTGCTGTCCCGCTCCCGCCCGCCCTCTGCGCAGGCGCATCCCGCCTGGCCGACCGCCGGCTCTCTGCGCAGGCGCACGCCGTCGGGCGGCACCTGGGGCGTTCTCCCTCCTCCCAGCTTCCGGCTTGCACGGCGTCGCCCGCTCAGTGCAAGCGGTTCTGCCGCTCCTCCTTCGGAGGCCACCACCGACCTGCGGCTCTCAGGCCTCGAGTCCACTGGGAGGAGGAGGAGGGAGACCGAGTGCACCGCGGAACTCCAGCTCCCGGAGTGCCCGGCGCCGCGCAGGGGCCGGCCGGACCGCCCACGCCCCGCCCTCTTAAAGAGGCCGCGCCTCGCTCTTTGGCCCTGGAGGAGTTGCCCGCGCGGGGAGAGGGCGGTGGCGGTCCTTCGCCTCCCGGTCTCGTCTCCGGTTCCGCGTCTGATCCGCGTCCCGTCTTTCCCCAGGCGGCCAAGAGAAGGGATGCGGGGAAGCCCGCGTCCAGAGCTTTGCTCGTGGCGCCGCGGAGCTCCGGATAGAGGACATTGATGCTTGGACTGCACGTCCAGGGCGCGGCTACCTCGTCCCGGTGAGGGCCGTGGGTGCGCTGGGCCCCGTCCGTCCAGCGGCGAGCCCCAGGGGCCTCCTTCCCGGCGAGGGGCTCCCGCCCAGGAGACGCCCCTTCCCGGCGAGGGGCTCCCGCCCAGGAGACGCCCCTTCCCGGCGTGGGGCTCCCTGGTGGGGGCGTCCTTGGGGATCCTCCTTCACCAGGGCCCCCCGGAGTGGGCGTTCCCACAGGGGCTCTTCCCCAGGGGTCGCATCTTCTCTGGGGCTCAGGGGAATCTTCCCAGATAGGCTTCTTCTCGGGGGTATTCTTCCTCCTGGGCGGGTGCAGGCTTGTGGGGCTTTCTTCTCTGAGAGCTACCTCGGGTGGGGCAGGTTTCCCTCTGGAACAATACCGCTGGGTCTCTCCTTGGTGGGTGCTCCCCTTCCCAGAGGATTCCTTCCTGGGGGCTCCCCTCGCCTAATGGGCACTAAGAGGTGACCTGTCCTGCTCCCTGGAGCTTACTGGTCTGTCTTGCCCCGTGTTAAGGCCAATTAGCAGTCGTCCTTTACCGTCTTTTTAAAGACAGATACACCTGGCAGCAGACCCAGGTTTGCTGATCAGGGCCAGCATACCGTGTTCCACAAGGCTTTCACTTAAGCTTACAGAGCCTGGAAGGTGTCAGAGTAGACAAAATAACCAGGATGGTTTGCACATCTCCTGGGAGGCCTTAGTTCATAACCTAGCTGTGAATTGTTTGGGAGTGACCAATTAAATAAGTCCAAAGTGACAGAAGGTCTAGCATATCTGCCCGCCTCACTGTCCCACCTCTTTTTGCTCCTTTACAGCCTCTTGCAACCCTTCAGAAGGAGAAGGGGGACTGGGTAGACTTTGTGACTTGGTCTTTACCAGCCAGTTCACCTCCTGGCCACCTAGTGCAGGTTTCTTGCTGCTGGAGGGATGTTTGCTACTGAGAGGGCACTAATTCACGAGTCTCCTTTTTCCTTCCTTGTTGGCTTTCTTGGCACTGAAGGAGGAGCAAACCCGGGCAGCTGGCCTGCAGCTCCTTGTATGGCCCTGCTTCTCTCTGTTCTTTGACAGTCTCACCTGGTACCTCCTGAGCAAACAGTAGCTATTTAAACACCCTGAGGGACACCCAAGGTTGCACGGCACATCCCTGTTTTCCTGCTCAGCCTCTGCACATTTTCCTGATCATTCTTAGAATCAGAACTTATTGGTCTTGCATATTGTCTGTTTTTTTTTTTTTCAAACAGTAGAATCTCATGATGGGATTAACTAATGAAATATTTGCTTTTTCTAGAGGTTTTATAGTTTAAAGCTTTTTAATAGCCTCAGTAATTACCTTCTTTGCCTTTCCTTCCTCCTCCTTGTTCTCTAATTCTTTTACTAATTTGAAATGAATAATGTATTTATAAATCATTTATTTCATTTTTGGCAACTGTCAGTTTATTTGTAGGATCATAAGTGCTCCATTTTTAGAAAATGTACTTTAAAGTTTAAAATTGGTCTTTAACAAAAAGGCTCCATAAAGAGACTTCAGGTCACTCACTCCCCTGAGGTGGACTTGCCTGCTCGTGGCTCTCTTCCTCTTGGCCCACACAAATGCTGCCTGTGCTGAACTTCACATGTGGCAGTAATGTGAAGAAATCAGGGGCACCTTCTGTTTTTTCTCTTGCAGGAGAAGCTAGATGACTCTCTGTTAGACATGTACTCAGCTCCCTACACATTCTCCCACAGGCTCAGGAATTCCCTGCCGAGACCCACAGGGAGCTGCCCTCCATTGGGGTGGTCATGCACTGCCACTCACTAGGGCCCTAGCTTCAGCTGAATGGACCAAGGTAGCCACCAGGAGCTGCCTGTCCCCACAGCTGTCCCCCAGCTTTGCACACTCAGGAGAGAAGTTGGCCTGTTGGGGACCATCTCGGTTGAGGCATCTACCTGACAGACCCACCTGGTGGTGCTACTTCATAAACACTCTAGGTAGGCTAAGTCGACTTTATTTCCCACAGTGTGGCTTGGTGCACACTGAGCAAATGGGTGGCACAGGTCCCAAGGAAGAGAGGGCAGCAAATTATCTGATAGGCCAAGGAGAGCACCAGCTTCTCAAAACTCCTGCAGACACAGAGCATGGAGGTTCCCTGAAAGGACTGCCCTGATGCTTGTCCCCTGTGCTCTCTAGCAGGTGGTGCTATGTGCTGCCCCCGTACCTGAGGGCCCTTGCTCTGGGTATCGAACCCGGTGTGCCCTACCATTGAGCTACTTACTGGTCCTTTATTTTTAGACAGAGTATTGCTGAGCTGCTTAAGATCTCACTGAGTAGCTGTGGCTGGACTTAAACCTCAGCCTCTGGAGTCTCTGAGATGATGGGCATTTGCCACTGTGCTTGGCTCAAAGTGTTGATTTTTCTCTTGTAAATAAAAAGTGTCACTGGTAGACTCTTAGTGTCACTGGTAGGCTGCACTGTAGAGCTGCAGCCATCCCTGTGCTTGGCCTGCCCACTGGCGGACTGTTGGCCTGGTCACTGTAGACTCGGCGGCCGGTTCACAGATGGACCCCATGCCTACCCACTGGCGGACTCCCTTGCCCTGTGTGTGTCCCAGTGAGTGCAGGTGAGGGGCTGTGCTGGCTCCTTCCAGCATTTCCTTCCCTGGAGGATCCTAGTCCCTTTTAGCCGCAGACACCTCTCCCCCTCCCTCACCCTGAGAGCCACTCATCTGTCCTGCGTCCTGTGCCACTGTGAGGCACTTATGTAAAGGGAATTGTGTAGTATGTGGTCTTTGGAGGTTCCCTTTACTCAGCCTCAAGATCTGTTCATGTTGTTGAACATATCGGTAGTTCACTATTACAAGAATCCAAATGTCTTGTTAACAACTAAATAACAATACTGGAAGTAAAAATATTTAAAGTTTGCTCAAGAGGAAACGTGGTATAATTTAGTAGTCCATAGGATTTTGTAGACAGGCTTGAAAGTAAAATGATATGAGCTTTTGAAAATGAGTGATGTGCATTAAGAATGTATAAATGCAGGGCACAGTGGTACAGGCCTGTAATCCCAGTAGCTTGGGAGGCTGAGACAGGAGAATTGTGAGTTCAAAGCCAGCCTCAGCATCTGTGAGACCCTGTCTCTAAGTAAAATACAAACTAGGGCTGGGGATGTGGCTCAGTGGTTGAGTGCCCCTGTGTTCAATTCCTGGTACAAAATAAATAAATAAATACACACACGAATGTATATATGTAATTTCAATATCATGCTCATGTTATGAAACATCTCAGTGGTGAATATTAATGTGACTACAACTGAAATCCTAAAAGAGAAATTAGTAACTCCCTTAGGTGTGGGGGTAGAGGGATAAGTTTAATTTCCAGAACCTGGTTGAGGAAAGAACCAGAAATGTGCACAGAGAGGTGTTACGTACAAACTGCATTGCAAGTTGTTTTTCTGAAGCATGAAACCACAAAAGAACCACTTTTAGGGCTGGGAATTTACGTAATGGTAGAGAACTTGCCAGCAGGTGAAGGCCCTAGTTCAATTCCTAGTACTGCCAAAAAAAAAAAAAAAACCACCTTTGGAGATGTTCTGGGGAGGATGGAAGCATGAAGGCAGCACCTCAGATTTCTGTCTGGGTCTGGAGGTCTCCTCCCAGCAGGTCCTCGCTGCTCTGCAGTGGGCTCGAAGCTGGCATCGTGAGATGGGTGCTTTGCTGGGAGCTGAGCTGCAGCCATCCTTGTGCTGCATCAGCTCAGTCCTTTCGGGGTCTGGCTTCTAACAGACGCACTGAAATCCAGCTCTGAGTTTCTGTGATAGAAAGGTTTGAGCAGTTAGTAGGGGTCATAGGTATTATTATTTTTTTATTTTTCTATCTTCATCTCTTATTAGCTCTTAACTGTGCTGACTTTGGAAATTTGGCAAGACTCCAGGTGATTCTGGAAAACCAGCAGGGTGACTGAGGGGCCATGTCTCAGGAGATGGCCTTTCTGAAATGCTCCTGAACATGGTCTCGAGGCTGGCCCACCTGAGGTGGTGTTTTCTGGGCGTTGATATGTATAGTCCCTCTTGGGTAGAACTGGCTTCTGTCTTTCATACATGGTAGATCTGGTAGAAATACAAAGCTTAAGATTTCTAAACATCACCTTTAAAGTGAGATGTAACTGACCTTTCATCTCCCCTCTGTGCCAGGCATCCAAGAGGCACTTACTCCATCGCTGAGTGTTTGGTTGAAGTGGTTCAGATGTTGTTGGTGATCCGGGAAGAATGGCGTTTTCTTTAGGAAGCTTACGGTGTCCTGGTGTGTTGGTATTTAACTCGGGTCAGTAGTGGTGAGCTGTAGTTGAGCCGTGTGTGACAGGAAATCTGTTTTTCAGCTGACCATGTGCACAGAAGATGCAGCCTGACCCGAGCTGCCGCCTGGAGCCCTGGCTGTGCTGGGACCATGAGGGCCTCGGAGGAGACTCTCTTCTGGATGCTGCTGCTGGCCCTCTGCTGGGTGGCAAGTGCCACAGAGCATGCGGAGGTGGCAAAACATGCCATCAAGCTGCACCGCGGCAAGGGAGCACCTGCCGCCCAGAGGAGGCAGTGGGCCCTGGACAGCTGCAGGAAGCTCACCGGGCTCCTGCGGCAGAAGCGTGTTGTTCTCCACAAGCTGAAGAGTGCTATCAGAGCGGTGGAAAAAGACGCCGGCCTGTCCGATGAAGAGAAGCTGTTCCAGGTGCACACGTTTGAGATTTTCCAGAAAGAACTGAATGAAAGTGAGAATTCCATCTTCCAGGCCATCCACGGGCTGCAGAGAGCCCTGCAGGGGGATTACAAAGACGTGGTCAACATGAAGGAGAGCAGCAGGCAGCGGCTGGAGGCCCTACGGGAGGCCGCCATCAAGGTCAGCCATGTGGCCAGTCCTGCCCAGAGCTGTGATCTGGGGTGGGGCGGGGGTCTCGGGAGCCTCTGGGTGCCAGTCACTTCTAGGAGGGGCCAGCCCTTCAGCACTCTGTTGTGGAGACCCCCGAGTCTGGCTGAGCACTGACGGGCGGGAACGCCTGCAGCCTTGCGCTCCTGTGAGGGCTCGGCCACCTGCACTGGGCCTGAGAGTGTCCACCAGGGACTCCCTGACCAGCCCTGGGTGTGCCAGGACTCTGGCCTACGTGCAGCGGCAGAGTTGCCTTTCCAGGCCCTTCTCAGAACACGGTGCCATGGTCCTTGAGGGACGCTGGCTGCAGCTGTGACCTGGGTCTCTTGCCAGATTCTCTTCTGAGTGAAGCCTGTGTTCTTCATGGCCTTACAACAAAAACAAAAATATAAAAATACTTATAAACAGATGTGTGCCCGTGAGGTGAGGCTTTGGACCAAGTGTGCTTCTAAAGGGGGCCACTGTGCCAGTGTTTCCGCAGGCACTGCCGAGCACCTGCAGCTCGCCAGGCGCCACACCCAGGCTCAGACAGCAAGTGCCATGTCCCCTTCGTGGAAGACCTCAGGATGTCACGGCTTGAAAGGAGATATAACTTATTTAGGACTGTCACCAAAACAAGGGTGTTTTTTTGGTAGGATACAACAGTCAGACAAGCATTCAAATCAAGGCATTCAGTGACCTGACTTGGCTGCCTGCCTGTTGCTGCCTGCCTATTGCCCATGTTTCAACCCTTGGGACAGTCGAGGTGCTAAGACCCTTTTTTTGTTTGTTTTAATATTTTTTATTTGTTGATGGACCTTTATTTTATTTCGATGTGGTGCTGAGAATTGATCCCAGTGCCCCACACATGCCAGGCAAGCACTGTACCACTGAGCTACAACTCCAGCCCCGTCCCTTTGGTTATAAGAGGAATTCCGGTGGACTCCAGGTTTGCAGTCGTCTGTTAGGGAGAAGACTTGTGAGTCTGGTGGCCACAGTCCAGAATTGCAGGCCATGTCACACCCTGCATGCTGCAGCCTGTATCTGTCATGCCTCAGGGTTCTGTGGTCCTCCAGGGTGGTAGCAGCCACCGTTGGGGCCCTGGGGAGGGGACAGGGGTTACTGCAATCACGAAAGAGCCACGCTGCTGTGGTAGCTGGCCACGGCTTGGTCCCAGCCAGGTTCCCTTCTTGAAACATGAGAAAACGTTTTAAAAGTCAGGTTATCAGTTGACTAGAGTTATGTAAAGTATGTTTACTAAGCGTGATGACCAACACCTCCCATGAGGGTCCCAAATAACCAACACATTCTACTTTACGTGTTTTTCTGGACCCGTTAGTCGCCCCGTCTGATGGGATGGGACCGCATCCTGCTGTAGAAATCCCAAAGGTAGCTACACACCAGGTGTTGCTGCTGGCTTTCAGGCAGGGATGTGCTTCCTGAGCGGCAGCACTCGGCAGTTTGTGAGGTGGCCTTAAGGGATGTTTGACCCACCTGCAGTGGACACTGCCTTCCCAGGGGTGGAGGTGCAGACGCTGTCCCTGAGCTGGACCCACCTGCAGTGGACACTGCCTTCCCAGGG